TCCTCTGCCTGGGGTTTGCTTAGACCAGGCAGAGCCAGAGGGTCACTGATGAGCTGTAGCTCGGCTGCTGCTGGATCCTCACCCCAGCAATGGGCAGCTGCATCCTTGGGAGCCAAATGCCCCTGATGTGTGTGGGAACGAGGAAATGGGTTTGTCACCATGGCCAGCCCTAGTCAGGTCACTCAGAGAATTTCCCTGCTGTAGGGAAGAGTCTCTGATGTCCAACATGGTGTTAACTCCGCTTGGAGCATTTTCCCCCTTGAAAACATCTCAGAGGTTTCTTCCCTGTGCGGATTTGCGGATGCCTGATACTCTGGGAGCACCAAATGAAGCTTCCCCCGCATTCAAGGTTTCTCTGTTGTGTAGGTCCCTGATGTGTGTCTACAGTCAGGCTATTCCTAGGGTGTCTCACCCTTGTGGATTCTCTGATGTTTGGTAAGCTCTGAGCTCTTACTGAACCTTTCCCCACAGTCAAGGCATTTATAAGGTGTCTCTCCCATGTGGATTCTCCCATGTTTAGTAAGGTATGAGCGCTGACTGAAAGTTTTCCCACAGTCCAAGCATTTGTAGGGTCTTTCTCCTGTGTGGGATCTCTGATGTGTAATAAGCTTTGAGCTCTCGCTAAAATCTTTCCCACACTCAAGGCATTTATAAGGTCTCTCTCCTGTGTGGGTTCTCTGATGTGTAATAAGCACTGAGCTCCGAATAAAACTTTTCCCACATTCACAGCATTGAAAAGGTCTCTCTCCTGTGTGCAGTCTCTGGTGTAGAATAAGTTGTGACTTCTCAATAAAGCTTTTCCCACAGTCTAAACATTTATGGGGTCTCTCTCCTGTGTGGATTCTCTGATGAGTGGTAAGTTTTGTTCTGTCAACAAAACTTTTCCCACAATCGAGGCATTTATAGGGTTTGTCACCTGTGTGGATTTTCTGATGCTTAATAAGGTGGGAGCGACTACTGAAATCATTCCCACACTCAAGGCACTTATAAGGTCTCTCTCCTGTGTGCAGTCTCTGGTGTATAATAAGTTGTGACTTCTGAATGAAACTTTTCCCACATTCAAGGCATGTATAGGGTCTTTCTCCGGTGTGGATTCTTTCATGTTTAGTAAGGGATGAACTTTCGATAAAACCTTTCCCACACTCGGGGCATTTATAGGGTCTCTCTCCCGTGTGCAGTCTCTGGTGTTTAATAAGATAAGGCTTCCTACTGAAGCTTTTCCCACAGTCCAAGCATTTATAGGGCTTCTCTCCTGTGTGGGTTCTGTGATGTGACATAAGGTGTGACGTCTCATTAAAGCTTTTCCCGCACTCCAGGCATTTATAGGGTTTCTCTCCTGTGTGCAGTCTCCGGTGTGTAATGAAGTGTGACTTCTCACTGAAGCTTTTCCCACAGTCCAAGCATTCATAGGACTTCTCTCCTGTGTGGGTTCTCCAATGTTTAATAAGGTTTGCACTGAAACGGAATCTTTTCCCACACTCAAGGCATTTGTAGGGTTTCTCTTCATTGTGTCTTGTCTGCTGGACTGTGGTTTCCTTGGGATCCTTCCATCCTCCATCACGTTCAGTGGATTCATCCAGTTTCTTCCCGGGATAGTTTCCCAGTTGCATCTCTGATCTGTGTCGATCTCCCCAGGCTTCTCCCTGTTCCAAGCACTGGGAAAAATTCCCTTCAGCTCTTCTCAAAAACCTCTCATGCGGTTCCACTTTCTCAGGACCTTCCTGCTGCTGAGTCTCCTCCATGTTTTCACTCACTGTCCTATCACCTGCTGGGAGAGAGAGAATCCAGACAGGAGTCACTGCCTGTGCCAGGGGGAAAGGACAGAAAGGGGAACAGCAAAGAGGAAAAACACAACACAGTGACTGTTGGGGAGATGGAGACACTGGATTCTGCCGCCACATCCCACCCAAATACTCCCAGGGAAGCAAAGTCAGGGAGGAAATTTCCACAGCTAACAGGGTGGGTGGGAAGCCATGACTGATATTTGCCTCGATGATATGACGCCACCCTGACCTGGGTGAGATGGGGCACAACTGAGGGCTTTTGCTCACAGTAAGTTTTTGGGAGTCCAAACTTTTTCCTTCACTCGCCAGATGTTTCTGACTCAGTTTCCCTCATTCCTCACCTGTGCAGGTGCCTCTCGGGCTTTCCCTTTTCTCAGCAGCTGGAGATCTGGAACCCACGGCTCTTCCCCTTGTTCCAGCCGGGGATCAGGTCAGGTTTGGGAATGGGAAATCCTGCTCAGGGAGTGAAATCAGGCAAGCTCAGGGCGCATGGAGCATTGGTAGAGTATTTGTCAAAAGGAACATTCCCTGAGTTTAACCTGACCCTACAGGGGACTGTGGTAACTCAGACCCTATGGAAGCAGCAGATCTCTGAGGGCACGGAGGTGTTGTTACCCCCTCACTAGGATTTCTCAGGGTAGATGCGCTCTGGGGGACTTGCTGACACACACACAGCTCGGGTGTTAAACTCCTGACTATTTCCAAGCCTGCAGAACCTAGAGCCCTCCCCACGGATGGAGCAAGGTGAACGGTGAGTGAAGGAGAAATAATACAGGCAGGGCAATACCCTGCTTCTGATCCCCTGAAAGCTGGAGAGATGGGGATGAATTAGCCTGTCCATTTGGTTTCTGACTTCCCTGTTCCCTTGAAGGGGGTATGGAGATGCAAGTCTCTCCCTCACTGCAGCTGTGGACAACGTGACCCTCCCCCAAATCCAACTGACCAGGGAAGAACCTGACAAGATTCAGATGTGCAGACCCCACGGCATCTAATAGCTGAGGGTACAGGAATCCCTTACCCAGCAAGGTCACCGTCTCATAGTTCTCCTGCATGACGTCCCTGTAGAGGGCTCTCTGACCGGGGTCCAGCAGAGCCCCCTGCCCCTGGGTGAAATACACAGCCACCTCCTCGAAGGTCACCGGCATCTGAAACATCAGTTCCCCCACTCAGCATCTGCAGCCCCAGCAACAATCCCACTAGTCACAGGGGAGGAAGCCCAGAGTAGCAGAATCCCACCTGCACCCTGCTCAGAGCAGCCAGGAGGCTTCAGGGGGTGGGGAGAAGGTGAGAGCTCCTTGTCCCCCCAGCACACGGAGCAGGGCAGGGTCTTCTCATTTCCCACACGCCTGCCAGCTACAGGCTGATGCAGGAAGCAGAGCTCTGAGCTAGGGACAGGGACAGGATTCCCGACAGCTTCCCTTCATATTTCACAGCAGCCTCTGGTCAGTGGGGTCAGGCTCCAGCACTGGGACTCTGGTCAGTTTTCCCAGCCCTGCCCGGGGGGGAGGTGTTTCCTGTTTTGGAAATGGGGGAATGTTTCTCCCCGCCACCTCCGCCAATGGACCTGTTCAGAAAATCAGGCTCCAAGTTGAATGTGTCCCAGCAGGTTTATCACACCCTGTCCCATCCCTGCCTCACCCTGGGTGTTTCCTGCCCCTCCCCCTCCACAACAACCCCCCTGCAGTTCCCTGAAAATCCCCTACCTGAGCTGGCTTCATCCCAGCCATTTCCCTTCCCTGTCCCCTGGAAGACGGGATGATCTGGAGCGAAACGCGGACGTGATTCCTCAGCCTGTCAGGGCGAGAGGGGCGATCGGGGAGGTTTCATAAGGGCCTTGAGTCCATTTCACACCCCGATTCCCCCCAGGCTCTCTCCCTGCAGACAGATGCTCTGGACTCTGCCATGCTGGGAAAACCCTCAGTCACTTTATTACAACACAGACCTGGTCCCTCCCAACAGGGCTGAGCCCACGAGGGCACTTTTAAACCCTCCCAGGGACAGAGTCCTGTAGCCAATGATTTTAGTTTTTTGGTCATTTATTGTGTGATGTTATGATTAATTCATATGTTACGTCATATCTAATCATTTTATGTTAAATAGAGTTAAATTGTAGAATTATAAAAGTATAAGATTGATTAGTAGTAGAAGGGGATAGGTATGCATTAGGTATCTAAGTAAGTAGGATTGAAACACAAGGCCTGCAGGCTGAGGCTTGTAAGATTTTAGATTAGCCATATTAGGCCTTGGTGCTGAGAAATGCTGACCTAAGTACGTCACTGAAGAATGACCCGATGCCACAAGATTATGGGCAAAGATGTACCAGTCGGTAATATTGTGAAAAATTAGCCAGAAGATTAATTTTAAATCACAAAAATGTTGTAATGGCACATCTGTTTCCAACATGTGTCTTAACCGCAGGATATAAATTGTGCGTCAATTCTAATGAGAATAAATAGAACCTACCCAACCATTAGAAATTGGGGTCCCTTGTGCTTCTGGGGGACACCAGACCAATAAGAACAAAGAGGGTTGACACTTTCATGAACGTGCGTAGAATGTAGGTATAGTCGGAATCACCATATAAAAAGAGGGTGCCCAGATTAGGAAATTTGAGTTCCCTGTAGTGTGATGGGGTGTGCATCCCCTACAGTAGCCAAGACAGGGTTAAACCCACATTATGGACAGCAAAATTCCCGCCCCTAGGCCGGACTGGGCATGCTCCAGATGCTGTAGCAGTCTAGAGGGAGGAAGCCAAGCTCATTCCGGGTTGGAGGCTGGAGGGGAAGGACCTGGACTGGATGCTCCCGCTGCGGACTGGCTACAGCCACCACCTGCAGAGATCGGAGGCCCCAAGGACCGGCTTGGACCCCTGCGACTGATGGAGTTCCAGGAAGCTACATGTGCTGGAGACCCAGAAGCCTCATGGACTGCCTCACCAGAGACAATGGCAGGAAGTGACCCAGGGAGGGTGATGGAGGGGTATCTCCCATCCGGGTAAGCTCAGCGTGTTTTGGTAGGATTCCCTGCTGAGCCAGTGACTCTGGGTCCCCCCTACCTGGGCTGCCAGCCCCCCTTGCTGGTGGGTACTGGCCACTAGACCCCGTCGCCCTGAACCGAAGGGCTGCACTATTAACTCTGGCCACTAGGCCATGCTTCCCCGGGCACTGGGGCTATCGCCTTTGCTTTGGTCCTTGGACCCTGGGCTAGCGGGGTTGGACACGGACAAGTAGACTGACCGGTGGTGTCCACGCACCCACTTCCCACCCCCTTTCGCGACGGGGTGTGCATCCACCGTGACATATGGAAAAACTCCAGCAGGAACCATCCCTCCACTGAGGATCAGTCCATGAGAGACCCACAGACCATAACACTATCTAGGAGGATGTGAGTATAACTATGTTTGTAACTCGTGCATAGGTCTGTATGGAATTTCTATATGCCTCGGTACTCATAACTTTAATGGTAACTTTAATAAAACTTGTAAACCAGACTAGACTTTGTACTTGTGAATGTCTGTGTGGTCACTGCCCTTGGTCTTTATATGCTCCTAGAGACCGTAAATCTGAAGCAAGTACCAGAGGTGACTTTTACTCCATTACGCGTGAAATTGTAGCCACCAGAGCCAAACCCATGGTGGTGTAATCCCACATTACTAAATTCACTTTAAATAAAATAAAAGGCTACAGTCTCTAAGACAAATACTAGAAAAGTGCAGAATCAAAGGAGCCACTGTGGGGGATTCCCCCTGACATTGTCCCCAAGGGCAGCGCATCCCCCCCACCAGTGCGGGGACTAGGAAGGGGCAGGACCTGGCTTTTCCTCTGTCAGCTCCTCTCCTCCTTCACAGGAGAGTCAGTCGGCCCAGGGGGATGCAGGGAATGGATCCGGGCAGGGCTGGGAGCTGGGAACCTCCCTCCCCACTTCTTGCTCCTGCTGCCCCTTTCGGTCTCACCCCTCCCCTTCCTGTCTCCGTCCCTCTCCCCTCTGCCTGGGAGAACTGGTGACTGTCCTGTTCGCATGGGCGTTCGCTCTCCAGTGTCAGCCTGGCTGTGTCACTGGGGGCAGCAGCTCTGGGACCCGCAGGCACGGGGGAGCCCCTCCCCCTCTGGTACAAACTCACCAGCAGGTCCCTGAAAGGGGCCCCTTGTGCAAAGTCACTTGCCTGCCCGGCCCCAGCCCTTTCCCCCCGTCACCTGGAAACTCTGGCTCAAGAGCTGATGTTGGCAGAGCCTGGGGCTGCCCCAGGGAGCTAGTTCCAGGACTGTCAAAAGTCCCCGGCTGGGCACAGAGGGGGGTTAATGAAGGTCTCTCCTTGGCACAGACCCCGCTGCGGGAGCAGCAGTTGCTCAGTCTGGGCCCCAGATCACACTGCAGGAGGCAGCTTCAACTGACCCAGGGAGCTCAATTAACTCCCGGGCACTAATATCATGAGCAGACAGAGAGAGACACCAGCCTCGTCTGCCTTAGAAATAATCAACCCTCCCCACCCCATATGAGGAAAGTTCAGCAGCGGTGGATTTCATTTGCCCACCAGGACTCACACCAGAACAGAACCAGAAAACCAGCTTGAACTGATATGCTTAACTGACCTGGAACCAGACTTAAACCATCATTTTTCCTCTTAGTGAATCTGAATCGAACTCAGGGGGAAATGGCTACCAGTTAAAATAAAGTTTTAGCAATTTTTCAGCTCAATATTTGATCAAACAAAACCTACTCTGATCTCACTTTCATTATAAAACAAGACAACAAAACAACCCCCAGGCATGTGATCGCTACCCGGCCTGTCCCAGTAGGAGAAGAGAAGGGGGCAGCCCACAGGAGCAGGGAGGAAGGGGAGAGAAGTGGGGGCTCCCTGTCCCAGAAGTTAACATTAACTCTTCAAGGCCAAAGAAAAAGGCTGCTCAATTCTTCTTCCGCTTAGACCGGCCTCCTCTCACCTGTCCCCACCCCTTGGGGCAGCTCCTCCCTACAACTGTCACAACCTGAGGCAGGCTCCATGCCCCAGATTCAGTTCCCCACTGAAGCAAGCCACAGGGCTCACTCCCAACCCCCTCCCCCCTTCTGGGGCACTGCCTGGTAACTAACCAGAACCGAACACACCGGCTGCCACTGAACCCGAACCAAACCCCAGTTCCACTCCTTGCGGCTCGCAGTGACTCTGGTTGGACCCCGAATCCTGCGCAGAAATCAGACTAGCCCCTGTTCAGTGCTGTCAGCCCAGGAGTCAGACCCCCCGCAGATAAGGAGATTGTCTTTAAACACAAATATGAAATTGGGAGCTGGGGGGGGGGAAGGTTTCTGGGTGGACCTTTGCCTTGTAAATTCTCAGCCCTTTGGGGGAAGTCTCCTGCCCACCCCCTACCCCTAGTGTGACCACCTTTCAAAAGGCAAAAGTGGGACACATGCAGGACCCCTGCCCCCTTTCCCCAAGGCCACGCCCCCTGCTCCACCTCTTCCCCCTGGCCAGGTCAGAAGCCGAGCTCTGATAAGAGCCGCCCAGGGAGCCCGGGGCCACTGCAGGGAGCCCCGACCCTCCACCTGCCCTGGGCAGGGGTACTCAAGAACATCCCCTGGCCCGTATGCCCACCCCCCAGGGTAGGTGGAGGGTCTGGGGCTCCCCACTGCAGCCTGGGCTCCCTGGGTGGCTTTTATTATGGCCAGGATCTAGCTTCAGCCAGGCCAGTGGGGAGGGCCTCGAGGGAAGGGGGGGAAAGAGAAGGAGCAGGGGCTCGTGGCCAAGAGGGGCTAAGGCCCACCTCAGCCCCGCCCACAGGCAACAGGCTGGTGCTGCCCCTGAGCCCCAGGCAGGTGCAGAGCCCCGGCACAGGGGAATCTGGAACAAATGGTGTCCCAGAGTCATTCAGCCCAGGACCGGACTTGAACTCTGCATTTCAGGACTGTCCTGCCCAATTCGGGATGGATGGTCATCCTGCCCACCCCCCACTGCTGGTTTGGCCATTTCTAGGGGAACAAATCATAGAATCATAGAAGATTAGGGTTGGAAGAGACCTCAAGAGGTCATCTAGTCCAACCCTCTGCTCAAAGCAGGACCAACACCAACTAAATCATCCCAGCCAGGGCTTTGTCAAGCCCTT